CCAATCACATGAAAAGCCATCCTGTAATGCATGTGAAATCACCCACTGGGTGTCTAGAAGCTGAAATTCCTAAGTCCCCACTAGGTTTAACAGGAGAGATTTCACATTAGGTCACTCAAGCTGGTGACTCTTACTCTCCAGCTATGATCTTACGAGTTATTCAGATTCTGACTGAAGGTGAAGGAAATGGGTGTTAGTGCTGCAGATAATTGAGGAAACACGTGTGTAGAAGTGGAATATGGGCTGGCCTCTGACCCGGAATGTAAGCTCCAAATCGCGTGCCATTTACACTTTAAATAAGAGCAAGAGGTCTGAAAGTTCTTGTAATGGGATGGGGAAAAGGAGGGGAACTATGGTTTGCAAACGATGGTGTAGAAACGGTAACAGCAAAACTCTGAATGTGCACCCAAAATTCTTAATGCTATGCAAAATGGCTTCCCACTGTCTGAGGCATTTTTATTCCTATTTCTTACTAAAGATCCAATTATCCAGACTAGAAGGGCTGTCCATTCACTCCAGGACTAATTTAACATCAGACTATTGCTATTTTTGTTTGTTTTTTCATTTGTTGTTGTTTATTTAAATATTTTTTGAAATGTAACATATATACACAAAAATGCACAAATCATTAGTCAGTTTTAAATAGAAGTAGATCCAGAGATGGAACGTGATCAGAACTGAGAGCCCCCTCATGTCCCTTTCATCCATTGCCTCCTCAGGTATGATAACCATGACCCTGACTGACCTCTAACCATGACGATTCATTTTGCCTGTTACTGAACTTGCATAGAAAGCAATCATCAGTGCATAATCTATAATGTCATTTTTGTTACTCACCCTTGTGTTTGAGAGATTCAACCATGTTGTGTGTAGTTGTAGTTTGTTGACTTTTGTGCTTATTGCTGTAGAGTATTCTGTTGCCTAAATATACAGGATTTGTATATGCATTCTACTGAAGAGGACATTGGAGTTGGTCTGGCTTGTGACCACAAGCGTAGTGTTGCCATGAACATTCTCATGCATACGAGATCATATTTTAAAAGTCTGATGCAGGACTGCCCATTGTTGCTCTGACCCTTTCTACTGGGAAGACGATTCACTCCCCAGATGCACAACATTACTGGAGTTATGATGCCTTGTTTTTATTTCATTAGAGCACTTACTTCCTCCCAAAGTGATATATAGCATAGTTGGTTTTTTTTTTAAATAAAATTAACCTGGTTTAAGGATATGGCAATGTTGTCACCATTGACTCACCTCATTTGCACAAAACAAATGATTACATATTTTGTTTAATTGCATTAAGTTGTTTGAGAATAATGCCCACCCACCATATACCCTCCACTATTCCCATCTCTCTTCATCTTGGCTAAACAAAGTATCATTACTCCTTCATCCATTCTTTATAGCAATTGTACTCTATTCTTTTGCTCTGATATCCCCAGGATAAAATATTTTTGGAAAACTTATACCCATTTACACATCTTTAAACGGGCTTCCTAAATTTTTTACTATTAGTTTAAATAAATGCAAACGGTGAAATTTCTACCATATTTTAAATTGTTTAATACTTTAATATTTTTAAAAACTTTGAAACTACAAGCTTAGCTTATATAATTTATAGAAAATGTCTCCATTACATAATTGGCAAAGCTGTCATGGAAAATTAATTAGCAAATTTAGACTTATTTTCATGGAGACATGGCTTTCTGTTTTTTTTTTTGTTTGTTTTTTTTTATCATTTCAAAACATGTTAATACATATCCCTTGGCAAACATTACATCTAAATTTTAATTCTAAGCTACATGGATGGATGGATGGATGGCTGGATGGATGGATGGCTGGATAGATGGAGGCATAGAAATTCATCATGACCTTTCCCCCTGAATGAAACAAAGTGCCACACCGTCAATATTTCCTCCCAATGCTTTCTTTGCTTTGTTTTCACGTGACTCTCTCTCAGGAGGAATGCAATCCTGAATTGTTTTTTGTTTAGTACCCAAAGTCTTTTATCTCCGGGATAACAATGCTCTGCAGTGAGATCCAGGATGGGTGAGAGGTTTGTTTTTCTACTTTTTTAAAGTGGGGGAAGGGGAAGGGGAGATGGAAAGCTGTGCTCTGAACCAGTTTGCTCCTCATTTTCTAAAACCATGCAGAGAAAGTGGTATTTTAAAGATGTTGGGTCATTTTATTTTCTCAGCTATTAGGGCAGCCTATGATCCTTAGTTCCACCTTTATGTCAGACGTAATAGACCCATGGGAATCTAGAAACTAGACAAAGGATAGATTTTTCCAAGCTCTCAAGAAAATAGACTAAAAGAGATATCGTGGTAGGATATTTGCTTACCTGGCATTTGGAAAGTTGAAAATTCTCCCTCTGAATTATTCTATTTTGCTTGTTTATACTGTGTTCAGGTGGGTGTTTTCTAGGTAGTATTAGAATCAGCGCTATCATCAGTTCTTAATTATCTAACAATATTTATCCTATTCATTACTCGAGGTCAATTTGAGTTGACTTTTTCCTGAATTTAGCACAACAAACATTTCGGCTCATTTGCCCCCCATGGCTCAACTACTTTGAGTTCATGGAATGCAAACTAATTTAAAAACAGGCAGGGGATTCCAAAGGCAAGATTTTGTTGCCAAAATTAAATAAAGAAGTACATAAATAAATAAGTAAGTAAGTAAGTAAGTAAATAAATAAATAAATAAATAAATACGCTTTAAGAGTTAACTGATATTACTTCTAACATCTGGCATCTCCTATCCTCCATAACAGCTGCAACCCTGAAAATATTCCCAAAGTCTTCTGGGAGTGAGCACTCTTGGAAGATTAAAACCTTGAAGGTTACAGAAGACACAAGGCAACCATTTCTTCCCCCAGACAACAGTGCACACTCAGGGAAAGCAGGACCTCTGAAAGTTATAAAAGCCAACCCTGGAGAGAGTCAAAACCTGGAAGCCGAGGAGAATTGAGAGAAAAACAGAAGGAGCAGAAAAAGGTGATGAAAAAATGAGAAGCGAATGGCAAAAAAGAGAAGCCAAAGCAAAGCCTAGAAATGTGGATGTTTCGGGAAGAAACAGACTCTCCAAGAGTGAGGAGAAGGGACTTGGGGAAACCCAGAGACAAGCGAGGAAAAGCAGCACAGCCCAAAGAGCAGAGCAGACTGGAAACCTGAAGTGTTGGCCGCCTGCTCTAGACACCTTGGAACTTTAACGACCTCTACAGTATTCAGTAAGGGTCCTTGTTCTATTTTCCACCTTTGGGCTTTAAAGAACAGAGATCTACTCGTGACCCTAGAGAAAAATGGAAGCTACTGAAAGGATCCATGTGTGTTGGAACACAATTTAGAACTGGAATGCTATCAGGAGGTAAGATGGCTCAAGAATTAAGATATTCCCTCCTCTTCCTGGATCGTAGGATCCCCAGAGCTTCTGCTTCTCTGTGCAGATAAGTTCCTTAGCCCCTTCCCTCAGTCAACTGTGTGCTTTCTCACAGTCGTGTGTAGTTATAGACCATCGTGGAGTCTTCATCCCCAACTGCTGTGTTACTCATCTGGCCAAGGATCAGCCTGCCAAGGATATGTCTGCTTCCCTATCTGTTTGTACCAGGAGTGCTTTTATTGTAATTACCTAATTTAATTAATTCATAGGTAAACTCAAAGTATGCGGATAGAAAAAAAGAAATGCTTCTACAAAAACTAATTTAAATGTTTTTTAAAAAACTCATAAAATTGAACCTCATACATATACACCAAATCCTTAAATTAGGTGTGATAAAGACAACTCTAAAAGACAAGGGGGATATATCCCAAAAATCTAGAAGTATTCTACACTTAACTTACTTGACAATTGTCCTGAAGTTGTTGATTCCCTTGAAATAAACCAAAATTTGGAAATTGTAGATGATTCATTGTGGGCATGATTTATTCCAGAAAGACAATACATAACTCCAGTCAGCCAATCTATAATCAAAACAAAGTTCTTAGCCTTAGATGAAAAGATGGCAAGTGAATTTACATTTATACATTTTCATATGAATTCATGTATCCACATATTAATTTATAGGTATACATACAATTAAGATAAAACTCTTGGGGTACTGTCATTTTTTTTATTGTTCTCCTCAGCACTGCCAACCATCAGTGCAGTCAGATTGGGTAGGAGGGTTTCTACCACAATCTCACCCTTCCTGCTGCCCCCCACTCAGTGACTTGCTTTGCACCGAGCACACAACGGGCACCAATAAGCTTTTGTTCCTTGACAACCTCAGAGGAAGTAAACAGGCCAAACAGTGATAACCTAAACCCTACTCCTAAATTATCTTCATGGCTTAGTACTCCTCAAGCACCGAGCCAATTCTCAGTAATAGTGAACTCAACTCAGTTCACTGTTCATTCCAAGAAATAAAATAATGTAGTCTCCTGCTTTGAATTTGTTGTGAAAGGATTTGGCATGCTTTTAAATATCCCCCTAAACAGCAAGGAACCTGCCCTAAACTGCCCTGCTCCTGGAGGTAGGGTAATCAGGACAATGAGAGCAATGCAAACTGGCGATATGTGTTCTTTGCCTTACCAGCCGGTGCAATGGGTTAGAGCACAGCTCTGGGGTCCTAGGCTCCTTGGCAACTACTTAACCTTTCTAAGCCTCTTTTTCCTCTTCTATCAAATGTATAGTTGTAACAATTAAATGAAGTAATAGATGAATGGCAAGATAAGTGTTTTCCTACCCCACCTTTTCTTCTTCTACCCATCCCTCCACCATAGGGGTGAGAAGAGAAGTGGTAAACACAATAAAGAGAAGAAATATCACTCTAATTAGGCCTGGAGTTGTATGCAGAGTGGTTAATAATAAGAAAGAGGTATATTATTATGTTTGCCATGCTCCAAAAAATGTGAAGGGCCTAAAACCTCCCTAGTATCTCACTGTAAGGCCCACAGTAGGAGCACCTTGCAATCACTCATTCATTCATTTAGTCATTGATTCATTCATTCAGTGAGTACCAGCTATGTGCCAAGCATTGTTTCAGGCATAGCCCTCAACACAAGTTCTCTTTCTCATGGAGCTTACGTGACCTTTGTGGGAGAGGAAGAAATTTTCCTCTACCCTCCTAAGTTCTGTCAGCTGGTCTAATAATTAAATCTACATGAGACAGACTAGCAAGAGAAAATAAATAGATTTAATTACATGTGTACATATGGGAATCTCACATACATAAGAGTCAGAGACAGAAAGGGAAAATGAGTTATATAGGACATTCTGAGCTAGGAATGAGGTAAGGCTCCTTAGGGCTTCAGAGAGGAGGAAGGTCCTTGCAGGATGATAAAAGCAGATGTTCAGTAATTAGATGTTGCCCTGCCATATAGATAGGTCATAAAAAGTTATTTCTGGTGAAAATTCTGATTATGGGCAAGGACCCAAATTTAAATTCTTTAAGGGAGAGGTAAAAGTTTCCCTTGGGCCACAGAGTCTTGATTGCCTTTAGCTCAAAATGATTCACATGTCAAAGTGGCACATATTAGTGAGCCCGGTTCTGAACTCCTGTATAGACTAGTTGAAAAAGAGCCAGAGACTAAGAGGTTACCTATGAAACCTGTGCACAATGCCTGTCACACAGTAAGCATCAACAAATAGCTATTTTAGTTATTGTTATCATCAACCCAACTGAAAATCTAACTTAGGATTATTAAAATATGTCCCTTGACTTCATGCAATATATATATATATATCTGTTTCCTACCCTAAAGATGCACCCACCTGGCACGAGCCCTCTCAGAAGCCAACCTCAGGACCCCTGTACCCACCTGAGCACAGGACTCCTTGTATTTTATGATCTTTCCCCTTTCCCACCTCCCTACCTGTTTTCAAAAGTCACAACCATTTTTCCAGCTCTCCAGAGATTAGGAGTGGAAATTGGGGAAGTCAGAGCTATAATGCTCTATTAAATATGAATAAATGATGCTCTACTTTCTGTTCTTTTCTGGAAATAAAGCCATTCTCTTCAAGCATCTCCAGCTTTATACAACTCCGTGAACACAAAGTGCCCCTAAAATGTCCTGGGAGGGAGGCAGCTAATCTGCTAATGGTGTAATTTCTGTCTGTCCGGTTTCCATTATGAGGTCTTCTGGGGCCTACTCGGGTCACCTTATTTTAAATTGGAACCCACCACACTCTGGTCTTCCTCACCCTGATCTGTTTTTAAATCATCTTCTAACATGTAATTCATTTATTTGGTTTGTTCTTTATTTTCTCTTTTCTCCATGAGAATAAATTCTTACAGGGCAAAGATGTTAGGTTTGTTTATTAGAACAATGCCTGGTCCGTATTATGCACTCAGTAAATATTTGTGGAACGAAAGAATGAAAACTTCAGTGGAAAAAGCTTTCTATCAATCCTGGAAGGGACTTAGGCCCTTAGGGCTTCAAAAGGCAAAAACAACCCAAATTTGGACGACTGATTGAGACTTTATTTTTTTCAAACCGGAAAGCAAAAGGGGTAGGGGTGAAGTGTGGGGTGGAGGGGGTCGGTTAGAACTCCAGCCCTCTCCCCTGCAGAGGAGGCAAGGCCCTTTTGCTTTTTTGGAATATTGGCTGTGTTTCCCGCTTGTCTTGTTCCCATACTTTTGACAGCCCTATTCCTGGGTCTTACATCGTGCACGTGTTCTTTCCACACCATGGCTGCTATGAATAAATAAATTGAAGAAGGATGACTTTTTTCCCCCAGGTTGTACGAACAGCAGTGGTAGGATCTGCTAGATGGGAAACACAAATATATGATGAAACTGGGATTTGAAGGCACGACCTTCAGTTGCAGGATCTCATTCTTAAGAGGACCAGCTGCGGAGCCACGGCGGACCCGGCTGCGGTCCCGGGCCTCTGTGCGCTGTAACGAGCAAAAGCAGCAACAGGCAACTTGCAAAGGCAGTGGGTGAGGAGGTCACTGCGAGCCGAATTCACGGATCCGGGACGAGGGGAAAGCTCCGCTCGGACCGCTCTGAGGGCTTGTTCGCACTCACTTGGAGAGCAAGGGCTCAGCAGAGCCGTCTCCCTGGTTTGTCCCATTTTTGTTCCAGAACCCAGCGTTTTAGCGCAGGGGTGGGTGGGGTAGGGGAGCGAACTCCTCCCCTTCCTCAGGCCCTGCCAGACAGGGACCAGCTGCTCTCCCTGCTCCTCGCTTCACCGGAGACTGCTGCCAGGCTCTCCTGGTGGCCCCTCCACTTCCCCTGAAGCCTGTTCTGGCCACCCCTGTCCCTTCGTGATGCCCTCGCTCCTGAATTCCTGCAGCTCTTTTACAGTTCACAGGATCTCTCATCTCTCAATATGTCTCTCCAGTTAAATTGTAAAACACATAAAGAACCATGTGCTCTTTTTCCTTAAGCTTTCTTTTCTTTTTTCTTTCTTTTTCTTTTTCTTTTTTTCTTTTTTTTCAGATTATAAACAGCTTCTATAGTTTCTGTCATGCTCAAACCAAAGCGATGACTCTCACCGGCCACTAATTGCGTGACTTTCAGAAAATCCTTCTGGACTAGTTTCCTCACGTGCAAAATGAGATTCTAAGTTTCCTTTTAGCTTTCAAATTCAGGAGCTTTCCAAAGCAGACTAGAGTTGATTTACTGGATATCGCTGCTCCTGCTACAGTGGTTTTGGGTCTAAATGCTTTGTTTCTGGAGGTCACGAATGGGTGGCATTCATGAGCAACCATCAGGAAGAAGAGCCAACAATGACCTCTGGTGTCTTTCCTCCTGGACACTAACCGCCCCAATTCTTCTAAAACGGGGTCCGCAGGCCATACACATGTGACCACTCTAATCCTGGCTGAACTGTAGGAGAAATCCTTACTTTTGTAAGTTTAACGCTGAAGAGGAAAAATTTTTTAGAAAAACTTTTTCTAGAAAATTATAAAGCATGAAAACATAAAAACCATAGAAGGATCAGTCACAGCCTACAGTCTTTGAATAACTTCAATAAAAGCCAGACATTGGTTAGCAAATTTTAGGCAACCTTGAGCCCCAGATCATTTCCCTTGGCTGAACCATGAAGGTTCTCAGGATGCCAAGCCGAAGATATTCAATCCTCCACCAGGCAGCATCTGTGACCCCTTTCCAGGTCTGTACAGAGGAAAGGGCATAGGCTCTGAGGCCATTCGCACGGGAATCTGACTTTAGTTTTGCCCTCTTTTGACTGCCCTTTTTTTAGACAAGCTTCTCTGATTCTCACTTTCTACTAAATAGGAATATGTTTTATCCCACTGAATTGAATGAGTATTAAATAAGAATGTATGTGTATCATTCAGAGTCCTTCATTGTAAACACGGACTTACCTGTGTTGGATCAAGCACAGCAGCAACTTACTAAGAGATGCTGAGGAACCACAATCCCTAGGAAGGCCGGGGAATGGAACCTGGAGGCAATGAAGCCAGGAACACTTCCCCAATTACACTGCCAGGTGCTCCTGCAGCAAAAGGGGAGACCTGCTGTAGCAGCTGGCATGGGCTCTAGCTGATACCACTAGTCCTAGGCCTGCGATGCCTCCTAAGGGCTTCCACTGCTGCTGCTTTCGAGAGCTGGACTTCTCAGGACGCCATCTTCGCAGCATTGCTGTCCAAACCAAAGCCTTGCACAACCTAATAGTTCTCTCTGTTACTATCTCTGAAGGTCTCTCTCTGGCCCCGGCTAGGCCCATCCTCCTTGACCCATTTTCCTCTATCTTGTTTGATTTATTTAAGACAGTCATCTGCCTGTTTTTAAAGCTCATTCCACCCCTGCAGGAAATTCAGCTTTTTAACCCTTCTTTGGGAATAAAACCGTGTGACCTTTGCAGGAAGCACTAGATTTCCCTGCAACCTCACCACTTAACTCCCTCACAGCTCCAAGTTATCCCTCCCTGTCATAAAGCCTACATTATCTTTAGACCAGCTGGTACGTTCTCATGTCTAGTCTGAGTCAAGTTCAGTCACCAGATGAGTC